TTATTTCTAAATAATTTTTTTAGTATTTATTTTGTAATTTATAAAAACGTGAGATGTAATGTGAGGTAATTTTTATTGCTCCTCATCCACAAATCTTAGAAACAAACCCAATCTTTTATAGTTATATTTCTATTTTTTAAAATTTGTTTCTGATTATATTTTTGTTATTTTTATTACAAATGGTGGGCCACACAAATCCAATTGTGTGGCCTAGCCCAAGTTGGACAACTCCATTAACCAACCTGAAGCACATGGAGATATATAATTGCGACGTGGAACATTTGCCTCCTTTGGGGAAATTGCCTTCTCTAGAATCACTCACGATAAATGCTATGGAGAAAGTGAAAAAGGTGGGAGTTGAATTTTTGGGGATAGAAATGTCTTTGTCTACATCTTCATCTTCCGTTGTTGCTTTCCCCAATTTGAAGACACTTGAGTTTGCTTATATGGAAGAGTGGGAAGAGTGGGATTATGGAAGCAGAGGAGAAATCATGCCACGTCTTTCTTCCTTGACAATTTATGATTGTTCAAAGCTAAAGAAGTTGCCGAATTATATTCTCCGAAATACTACGCTGCAGCAATTGGAAATTGATAATACTGCATTGATTTCAAATCTATTCAAAGAAGACTGCAGGCCCCATATCTCTCACATTCCTAACATGGATGTGGAAGGAGAAAAAGGTACTTCACTTTTGCTTTTTTTTTTTTATTAACATTTTTAAATTTTTTGGTAAGCATCAAGAGTAAATACATTATTTAAATGCATAAATTAACAACAACCGAAAGAATAAAAAAGAGCGAGGCTAAAATCAATCCTTTTGTGTTGCTTTTTTGTTTTAAAAAAATTACTATATTGTAGTATAAGGTGCATTATATTATAGGTGAAATTTAGTATATAATTTTAGAAATTTAAATTAAGATATATATTTTAAATAATTTAATATTTAAGGTAGTAATATAAAGATAATATTTTGTATAATTTTTTTATACAATTTTTATGTGTTATTAAATACCTAGATGTATTTAATATCATAAATTTTAAATAAATAAAAAATTAATCATTTAATTAACACATAAATTGTATTAAAAAATAATATAAAAAAATTAC